ACTGGGAAGTAAAGCGGTTTTCTCAGACTCTCCCACGCCTGGGCCTCAGTGACCAGATCTCACTGTCCCAGCTCCCAGCAGTTTTGTTTAAACCGGTTCCCTGTGACACGCCTGCTAGTTCTCACGCACAAGTGAGCAGTAGGCATTGGGTATATGAGTCTGGAGAACGGGAGAGAGCAAAAGTAGGAAAATAAATATGTGGATAACCAGTTAGAGATGGCATTTTAAGTTACTATATAAGATGGGCTTGGCTAATATTTGAGTTTGCATTCATAACACGTGTTTTGGATGACATCAGATACTGCCTTCCAAGGGAGTTGATATATTTAGGTGCTCCTATATTGGGTGCATTGATGTTTACAAGGGTATTTCCTCTGTTGAAATGATACCTTTATCTTTATGTCTTTTACTCCTTTCCTCTAGATAAATTCTACAACAAAAGCTTTGCAAAAAAAAAAAAAAAAAAAGACAAAAAACATGCTGTTAACTATGCAACTCTATTCATATGTTTGGTAAGAAAATAAATAACCTGTAACCATAAAAAAGAAAACATAACGTCATAATAAAAATCTATGCTTGTCCTGTTAACTATAATAACTTATTTTTCTACGACTGGTTATAGGGTTTGAATTTAAAATTATTCTTCAAGATCAGCAAAATGATAAATGAAAATAAAAACCTAACAGGTTCTAGGATAAATGGCTTTAACTTGCTTTTAGACACTAGAGAAACGAGGATTAGGTTATATCACACAGACCATCTTAAACATTTTCTCCTAAGCTGTCACTGCAGGATTTTATTTTGAAAAAAGAAGGCATGCTAAATTATTTCAGACCTGCTCTCTTTAAATAGCTCATTGATTTGGTGATAAACATTATTACATTCGGATGCAGTCAACAAAATGATGGCTGTGCCCTTTGCTGCGGTGAGATACAATCTGCGAAGGAAATGGGCGTACAGGATGGCGCTGTCTGCCTGCATCGAAAGATGTGTGCCTCTCTGACTTATGTGATGGAAAATATTTCCATTATGTTCATCTCCTGTGGGGCAAGTCTACCCAGGGACAAATAAAGACTCTTCGGCTCGCTGCCTCTATCAGTGATGGTCACAGAGGGCAATAGCGCCCTGCAGGGCACTTCTGCGATGTCTGGAGACCTGTCTGATGGCCATGACTTGGAGAGGGTGGTGTTCCTGACGTCTAGTGGGCATCCGCTCTGCGAGGTGTCCTACGACGTGCAGGACACTTAGCCCTAACACCACAGCAAAGCGCTACCTGAAAATGTCCAGAGTGCCGCCTCTTAGAAACCACTGTCTAAATAAGTAAGTACATACTGTTTGTCACCAACACAGTGCTTCCTCTGAGCTATTTACAAAATGTAAAAATGTTTGTAATCATATGACTTTAACAATAATTCACATTAACTTCATGTTACTCTTCAAAACAGTTTAGTATGTTAATATAGCCACTAATGAAACAGGAGGCTAGTGGACTATCCAAATTAAGGTAGTTTCTGTGGAAGACATGGGAATTAAAAGAAAATTCATTAAGGAAGCAAAAGTAAGGAAAGGAAAAGAGGGGAAACAATAAATTATACACCTGACATGAGGATGGAAGAAATATAATCCAATATATTAGTTAATCATAAATGAAAAATTATAATTTTACACCTGTAAAGTGGGAATGACATACTAATACCTCACTTACAGGGCAGTGACGGCGAATAAATTAGTTCATATCTGTAAAGTACTTGAATCCATTGCTATCATAAACACTAAAAAAGTTTTAGCTATTATTCTTTTTCCTATTATTATTATAAGCTATTTCATAAAAACACCCAAGCAGCATGGGATATAAACCAAAATCTCAAGAAAAGAAAAAAGGGAAATCACCACGGTGGTAGAGGGTCTTCATCACCCTCAGAAGTTGACATCAATTTGCCACAACACAGCAGGGCTATGGGGGATTTGGGTAACACAGTCCACAGGGTAACACACACCCTCAGCCCTATACTGGAAGCAGAAAATAGGGCCTGCTTATATGTCCATTTAGAACAGTGGTTCTCAACCTTCCTAATGCCGCGACCCTTTAATACAGTTCCTCATGTTGTGGTGACCCCCAATTTCATTGTGACAAATTGAACATAATTAAAGCATAGTGATTAATCACAAAAAATAATATGTTATTATATATGTGTTTTCCGATGGTCTTAGGTGACCCCTGTGAAAGGGTCATTCAACCCCCAAAGGGGTCTCGACCCACAGGTTGAGAACCACCGATTTAGACAATCTGTTCGTTACGAACCCAACATTCTTAATAAAAATCTCAAAAGGATTTTCATCATCCCCATTCTCTCTCCATGACCCAAGAGAAACTAGAAATCAAAAAATACAAAGGTGAAAAATACTTGAATACTAAGATTTTACGTTAAAATAACCTCTGGAGCCCCCCAGTCCTCTCTGCACGCCGGGCAGGGCAGGCGGGTAAGGCCACCGCGTGGCCGAGTCTGCACAGTTGAGTGGCACTTGCCAGAGAAGGCCACCAAGGAGGGCAGGGCCACCCCGTAGGGAACACTGCCTTAGTGCCAGGGTCTTTCTGGTTGTTACAAAGACAGAGTTGCCATCGGCCTTTGGGGGTGGGGTCAGGAATGCTACATGATCTGCAAAGCCCAGAACACGCTCATGCGATGAAGAATCGCTGTGGCCAATAGGCCAGAGATGTTGCCATTGATAAACTTTGTCTTAAAAGCGACCGCAGGGCAGAGAATCCACAGAGCCTGATATTTCTGTGTGAAGTTAAGTTAATATTACCATGGTAGAAAAAGTCTTCTGTAAAAGTAACAGGCAATTCAATGTTCAATTTCCCACAGAAAAACCAAATTCAAGAACTTTGCTTTACTTTTGACAATCATCTGAGAGCACTCTGTTTAGGAACTGCTGCTGAAACTCATTTTATTTTATTACTAAGACTCAGAAAGGGAATTCATGTTTAGCTACCACAGAACAGATAGACAAATGGGCAGATAAGCACACAGGGAACCGTAAATCTATTTTATTTGCTATTTGGGTGATATTAACTAGGTCACATTCTCGGCCACATTCTGCGCAAACCAAACTGTTAACAGTTACCAGAGCATCAGTGTAGTCCTTCTCCCAGAGCTACTTTTTTGTACACCTTCACGTAAAGACAAAGTATTTCAGTGATTCCGTCTTAGCACCTCTGGGAGTCCCGAAGGTCAGGGCAATGTCATGTGGTAGGTACAGCACCTGGCATGGGAGGCACGAGGCCTGGCTGCAGGCTGGCTCTCCCCTTACCAGCCGTGTGACCTCCCGGTGTTTACTCATCGATGCATTGGGAGAACAGTATTCGCCTTACTTGTCTTAAAGGGCTGGGATGCAGAGTGACCACCAAGTCCTGCTAAGGGCCTCCAAGCTGCACTGAATCTCGCCTCCCCCACCTCTCTGAGCTTGTTATCAGCCACACTCCTCCCTCCCTGGCCCCCTCCAGCTCTGCACCTCCCTGGCTCCCTCCCTGTTCCCCAGCTACGCTGACTGAACATGTCTGTGCTCACCGTTCTCTCTGCCCAGAACGCCCTGCCCGGACAGCTTTGGAGCACTCTTACTCATGCACTTTCTTTTCTTTTCTTTTTAAAAAATATATTTTTATTGATTTCAGAGAGGAAGGGAGAAGGAGAGAGAGATAGAAATATCAACGATGAGAGAGAACCATTGATCAGCTGCCTCCTGCACAGCCCCTACTAGGGATTGAGCCTGCAACCCCAGGCATGTGCCCTGATTAGGAATCAAACCGTGGTCTCCTGGTTCTTAGGTCAACACTCAACCATTGAGCCATGACAGCCGGGCACTCATGCACTTTCTTGAGGTCTCTGCTCATGTCATCTCGCCCAAGAGGTTGTCATAGACTATCCTGTGACACAGAGTTCTCCCAACCTTTTCTGTTTCTGTCTCTATTCTACTTGATTCCTCAGCATAGTGACAATTGGCCATGTACTACCTCATATTTTAATTTGCTTGCTTATTGTCTGTTTCTTCTCTGCTAGAATGTAATCTCAAAGAATGCAGGAAACTTCACTCACTTTTCCTTAGGAATAGTATTCCAATAATATATTAGAGTTTTTCCTGAATCAGTCTGTGTAAAAATTAGAAGTGTGTTTAGTTAGAAAGTTTGTGTCTCTACTTTTCAGCAATGTAAAATTATATAAATATTTTATTTTTATAACATTAAGTATGTCTGCAGACACATCTATAATAACAAAAGTGTAATATATTAGACAGGACTTCCTTCCGGATGACCTTCCAGACGAAGCCAGGGCTGCAAGGGAAGCCTGGGTCCTGGATGCCTGCCAGTGGCAGGAGGGAAGCCTGGGTCCTGGGTGCCGGTGGCCAGAGGGAAGCCCAGGTCCCAGGTTCCAGAGGGAAGCCGGTGCCGGCAGTTGGGGGAAGGAAGGCCTACTCTTGCATGAATTTCATGCATTGGGCCTCTAGTAACTCTATAATGACTTAGAGTAGGATGGCAAGTTACACTTTTATCATCTCTACTACGCAGTTTGCCTATCTTCATGATCCTAATGCATTTTCAATTACTCACACAAGCACGGATTTTGCATAATGTTCCTCTAGAAAGGTAGTCTATGCACTCTATTCAGAAGGGAAATTGCTCATTCACTGAAAGCAACATGTTCTGCTTCAGGACTTTAAACGCCAGAAGCTAAGAGAGCCAACAGCTCATTATTTGCTCAGATCAAAGTTTTCAAAGTGCTCCTGGGTTTCGTCAATCACGCCTGTGTTCGTGCTGGAAAGTGACCCATTTCTTACCAGTTTTCCTCTAGTGCTTAGTGCACAGCAGACACTCTGTGCTTGTGTGGCAACCTGCTGACACAGGCTTCACGCAATGTATCTACGCCCACCCTCTTTAAAAGGAGATGAAGGGCCGGTTAGCTCAAAAAAAAAAAAAAAAAAAGGAGATGAAGGAGGCTACTTACATTTCGAGCCTGATGAAGAGGACCCGCTGGCGGCAGATCTCGAGCCCCCTTTCATGGAAAAGACCCCTTTTCCCCGGCGAGTCGTCGAGACAGCCACCCTGGGGCGCTTCAGCGGGATGACCGCGCGGGGAGGTGGGGGCACGCGGCCGTGGTAGTCGAACAACCTGCACAGAACACAGACATGGGAAGATTGGCTTGGGCCTCAGCGTGCTGTCCAGGGAGGAAATGTTTGAGAGAATGGCCGGGAAGAAAACTTTAATACATGTTTTGGTTATTGTTGTTCTTTAACATTCAGAAACGGGTATTTATTAGAAAATTAGTTTTCAAAAGAAATAAAATGTAACCTATGCTTTCTGGACATTAGAATCTGACTCTCCAATATGAGCTCATTTGTCAGGTATGAAAGGACATATACAGGTGTCCGTTGTTATAGCACCTCTTTCATTTCTAACTTTACTTATTTCGGTCTCCTCTCTTTATTTCTTGATGAGTCTGGCTAGGGGGTCATCAATCTTGTTTATTTTTTCAAAGAACCAGCTCTTGGATTTATTGATCTTTTGTACTTTTTTTTAAGTCTCTATGTCATTTATTTCCACTCTGATCTTTATTATTTCCTTACTTGTACTTCCTCTAGCCAGTGGTTCTCAACCTTCCTAATGCTGCGACCCTTTAATACAGTTCCTCATGTTGTGGTGACCCCCAACCATAAAATTATTTTCGTTGCTACTTCATAACTGTAATTTTGCTACTCTTATGAATCGTAATGTAAATATCTGATATGCTATATGTGTTTTCCGATGGTTGCGACCCACATGTTCTCTTTCGAAGTCATTTACTAGTAGTTGTAAGGTTAGATAGCTTATTAGTCCTTTTTCTTTTTTCTTGAGGGAGGCCTGCAGTGCTATGAACCTTCCTCTCAGGACTGCTTTCACTGTGTCCCATAGGTGTTGGGTGGTTGTGTGTTCATTTTCATTTGTTTCCAGGGAGTTTTAAATTTCTTGTTTGTTCTCATTGGTAACCCATTCATTGTTTATTGTTTAATAACATGCTATTTAACCTCCATGTATTTGAGTGTTTTTGAGGTGTTTTTTTTTTTATTGTAGTTGATTTCTAACCCCATGCCATTGTGATCTGAGAAGATGCTTGCTATTATATCAATCTTCCTGAGTTTGTATAGACTTGTTGTGTGCCCTAACATGTGTTCTCTTTTTGAGAATGTTCCATGTGCACTTGAGAAGAATGTATATTTTGTTGCTTTGGGGGAAATGTTCTGTAAATATTGGTTAGATCCATCTGATCAAGTGTGTCATTTAAGGCCTCTGTTTCCTTGTCTGGAAGATCTATCTAGTGATGTCACTGGGGTGTTAAAGTCCCCTACTATGACTGTATTGCTGTCAATCTCTCCCTTAAAGTCCATCAATACTTTTTTTATGTACTTGGGTGTTCCTATATTGGGTGCATATATGTTTACAAGGGTTATATTTTCTTATTGAATCCTTCCCTTTAGTATTATGAATGGCCTTCTTTGTCTCTTGTTATGTCCTTTGTTTTGAAGTCTATCTTGTCTGATATGAGTATTGCTACCCCCCATTTTTTATCCTTTACATTTGCATGGAATATATGTTTCCATCTTTTCACTCTCAGTCTGTGTGTATCTTTTGTTCTGAGATGGGTCTTTTTTGTAGACAGCATATATATGGGTCACGAGTGTTTTTTTTTTTTTAATCCATTCAGTCACCCTATGTCTTTTGACTGGAACATTTAATCCATTTACATTTAAGGTTATTTTAATAGGTATTTATTGCCATTTTTATTTCTTTATGCCTATGTTCCTCTCTCTTTCCTTTTCTTCAGGAAGAAAGATTTAAAAAATATTCTGTAATAGGTTCTTTCATAAAGCTACATGTTATTTACACTTTCAGATAAAATGGGATAATTGTTTTGGAGCATAAGATGTGAAATATGATAACAATTAAGACAGGCTGGTTTTCCAAATATTCATTCATTCTGTTGGAGGAAAAGAAGTAGAATATGAACCACATTTAAAGCAGAACTTAGAGCTAGGAATGTCCAGCATTAGCAAGCTAAAGTGTTCAAAAACGATTGGGAAATGTGCTGTGGAAAAAGCAAGAGATATCTGGGAAGGAAAAGAAATGAAATGAAAGAGTTCAAGGGAGGAGCCATCCTCTGCGAATAAGCAAAGTTCACTAGATCTGAAGAACCGCTTGCAAAGAGCAGCTGATGGGGGTCCCCGCCCAGCTCATGTGTAGTGTAGACAGAGTGATGATGAGGGTTAGGAACGCCATCCCTACCAGGGCTGGAGAATCAAGAGGGTCAACCAAGCCCGCCCCTCATTTCCACTACAAACAATGTCTCCAGGACTGATTTATAAGTTGAATTTGCAGAGCACCTTAAGCCAGTGAATCAAAGTTCAAAGGCAGCTATTGAGGGAGGAGAAAATGTGGCAATTGACTCATCTCTCCGGGGTAGACGTTGCCGTTGCCGTTGAGATGAAAGGCAAGCTCTTTTGGACAGACCATTCCCCCAGGCCATGCAATCTAGCAGGTTCATTAAATAAGCTAATCTATACATTTGGCAAAGAGCACTTCTAAAGCATAACTGAAATCTATAATGATATAAGAATGCTATAATGAAAATTCAGGCCAAATAAAGTGACATTGCTACTTCCGTGACAATGCAATCAAGTGCTATTTTACAGGGAACTGAAAAGTCTAGCAGCATCTCTACTGCCTCCCCAGCCAAGGAGCACAAAGCCTGCATGTGGGCTGGGTCTGAGCCTGTGTTGAGAGAAGGCGGCTGCATCTGACATACTTTTTGTATGTGACACACATTTTATAATTTCCTCAGTATGTGTCATGTCCTTTGTTGATAATTCCGACATAGTGTAGCCCGGTTCTCTGAATATTTTGCTGAGTTGCTTCAAAGGTGGGGGTGGATAAAGGGGGGGGGGGTGGAGAGGTGACTCCTTCTCAACAAGGAACCAGGTGCCGTTTTACCAAGTCCTTCTGCCAATCTGATGGGATGGCATACAGCATCAGAAAGTAACCTTTTAAAAGTGAATGTAATTTAAAACAAAACAAAATAAAATAAAAAACAGCTAAAGAAAGGTATGGGCACTTCACAGAAGGGAATAATTTTTAATTTGACAAAATGAAACGGCGCTGGGGAGTTTCTTAATTTCACTGGGCAAATGTGAGTTGACCAGAAAGAAAAGGGAAGAAGACTGGGCACTGTCCTGTGCATAGAAGCATAGCAAGGTCAGGCTGGGTAGGGGCACTGAGATGGGCTGTGGGGTCCTTCCCAATGCTGGGGAAGTGGGCGAGGAGCAGCCGTGAAGGGGAACCCTATGTTGGCTTCTCACCCAAATTCTGTGTGTCACAGCTCAAAGAGATTTTGCCTTCACAGAGTGTGGATGGGGCTGAGACAAGGGAAACAGTCCATTTAGGATCCATATATGGGCAATAGAGACGCCAACCACAGAGTTCAGTGGACTCCAAATCCCAAAGGTCAGTTAAAACCGTAACATTTCTTCCCTCCTCTTATTTTTTTATTTCCACTCTTAGAATTATATAGATTCCCTGTCTTTTCTGTAATGGTTCATTTTCCCCAATATTGCTGAGTCAGAATACTGTTTAATCCCTGAATTTACTGGTCAAATAGACAATGAGTTATGATAAAGCCAAACACATCAGTTTTCCTCCCCCAATGTCTATTTTAAAATAAAACCTCTAAAAATCTAAGAATACTATTCCCCCCTAATATTTACTGATCAAATAGATAATGGTTTACAATGAAGCTAAACATAACTTTCCTTCCCCAAGGTCAATTGTAAAATAAGAACTATAAAAGAGCTACTCTTAAACATTAAATAAAATAAATGCAGTCATCCTACCTAATAAAAGAGTAATATGCAAATTAACCATCACTCCCCGACTCCATCACTCCCTCACTCCATCACAAAGATGGTGGCAGCCAAGGAGCTGGAGCAGCAGGAGGCTTGGGTTGCCCCCGGTGATGGAGGAAGCCAAGCTTCCCGCCTGCCTTGGCCGGCCCTGAGCTCCACTCAAGGCTACAAAGTTTCAATTATAGGAGATAAATAAATCCCAGATACCTGCTTTTAGCGATGGGCGTTGCAAGCCAGAAAAAGGCCATCAGCCCCTCACCCAGGCTGGCCAGGCACCTCAGTAGGGACCCCCACTCTGAAGGGGGTGTGGCCAGCCTGCAAACAGCCCTCAGCCCCTCACCCAGGCTGGCCAGGCACCCCAATAGGGACCTCAACTCTGAAGGGGTGGGCCAGCCTGAAAACAGCCCTCAGCCCCTCACCCAGGCTGGCCACACTCCCATGGGGTGAGGGTCCCCATTAGGGGGCTTGACCAGCCTGCAAACTTCCATCAGCTCCTCAACCAGGCTGGCCAGGCACACCAGTGGGACCCCTCCACCCCCACCTTGAAGGGGGTGTGGCCAGCTTGAAAACAGTCATCAGCCCCTCACCCAGGCTGGCCAGGCACCCCAGCAGGACCCCCACCCTGATCCAGGACACCCTCAGGGCAAACCAGCCAGCCCCCACCCATGCACCAGGCCTCTATCCTATATAATAAAAGGGTAATATGCAAACTGACCCTAACAGCAGAACAACTGGGAATGACTGGTCACTATGACACACACTGACCACCAGGGGCAGACGCTCAATGCAGGAGCTGCCCCCTGGTGGTCAGTGCGCTTCCACAGGGGGAGCTCTGCTCAGCCACAAGCCAGGCTGACAGCTGCCAGTACAGCGGTGGTGGCAGGAGCCTCTCCTGCCTCCTCAGCAGAAATAACGATGTCTGACTGCAGCTTAGGCCTTCTCCCCGCACCGCGGAGTGGACATCCCCCTAGG